AAGGAGATTGAAAAATCGAGATTTACGATTTCAGTCCTTTGTTCGTCACCAAATGCGACTGTTTAAACGTGACGTGCGAGATGAAGGCCTGACTGGTGCTACGTCGCTGTTGGGGGTGCTCATCGGTTCACACGCTAAGTACTTCGATGCTGTGTCACGAAAAAGTTATCTGCCATGAGTTTGCGACCCACGCATTCAATCGATGTTCACCAAAATCGAAGGTGGTGTGCAGGTGTCACAAGACGTATGCTCATTCCGGCGGTCGAATCAATTTGTATTCCGTGAGAAGTACCAAATAGGCCTAGATTTAGGTCAATTGATTACGAACTACAAATAAACTAATCTCTTACCTGAATGTCATCTCATGTAGTATCTAACTTTGTACAAGCCGATTGCGCGAATTACATTACATCGGAAGCACTGTAGCTCTGTTTATTACAAACGAGTAGCTCAACCATTGCGATACATCCCAGGTAACATACGAATCCCATAGCAAATGCCTTTTTCAGGCTTCGAAGCATGCGGCGTTGACCAGAACAAATGGTAGCAGATGGGTCAAGTCTGGTAGATATCCTGAGGATAGGACAACTTGCCATCCCAAGTTCGCGTCTAGCATGATGTAAGCGTTGTCAACCGAACAGCGAATACACTACTGTATCTATCAGCCAAGTGTAATCTCCAGTGTGATTCATTGTTCTACACTGGCTGTGGTAATTTAGATTCAAGTGCTAACGTTCATCAAACAGTGCATTCACATCTGAGGCATCGTGACATTTCATAGACTCAATTTCGCAATGACACCTGTCGTTTTGCTGTCCAGCCTAATGCATATGATTCCCATCTGGTATATCAAGCCTAAAACTAGCCAATAACACAGGTTTAACTGTTTTGGCTTAGTGATCGATTTCATACCAAAATAACGCAAGGATAGCCTACCTACCTGCGAATTCCTATTGACTATTTAGCTGCCAATGTGTTCGAATTCGAGTGTGGTGTGACAGAAGCCGTGCTGGACCGTTGCAGGGCTAAACGTGCAAGCATGTAGTAAAAGCGACCGATGTTGACACGATACTTGGACATGTGGAGTCGCTTGCGTCCAGAGAAGCCGTCAGCTGAATCGATGAAGTTGGGGAACACTTTCATTTAAGCTGCAACTCAACAGTCGCCTGCAACTAATGAACAGTGTGTGTCTGCGCTTGTTAGTCATTGTGGATCTTTGACTGAGATTTAAGCCAATCTCTGGGTAACAATGTGGCGGATTATGGGTAAATTTTTCGAGGGTTCTTGTTGCAGGGACAGTAGTGGAATGTGATGAATAGCCACGTTTTGAGGACATGCGTCAAGTGATATGATTGACACAAACCTCAGCTTGTCACATTACAGATGCAGCGCGTGTAATCTTATCACTTCATTAATTTTGCCTCCTTCGAATGCTCACCTCTACTTGTCTCTCGTCAAGGCCGCTTAACCTGCAATGCCAAACACAACTCACCTTGCTTCTTCCTATTTAATACGAAACTGAGCAATGCGCCACTAAAAAGGCTTATTTTGGCAATGTGAACTAGTCCGGACCGTCTCTGGAAGGCGGCAATCGGCTTCAATCATCTGCCACCGAAAAATTTGCAAAACCATCATTTCTAATTCGGATACGAATAGATTGTGTGTTGGTACTGATTGGGCTTGGAGACTTAGTGAAATGCAGTAAATCGCATCCCCTCAATCGGCACACATCTGCACATATTGCTAGCTAATCATTCCATTTTATCAACTTGGTATAGGGTTTACATGATGTACGCTTACACATCTGATTGTGTGCATCGCCACATGCGTTTGCACACAAGCACGTATGCTCACCTCTAAGAAACAGCTAACAGTTTTTCTATCCATTTAACTAAATGTTGCGACATCCTCGCATTTCGACCGTTTCACCTATTCAAATGTCTGCTGCTCTTAATTAACTATAATATAAGGAATAAATAATCATTGGATAGGGGGATGTCTGGTGAATATGCCACGTGTGCGAAAACTATTCATTTCAACTTCTCGCGAGCAACGTGAGGTCAAGCGTTGACAAGCAACAGCAGCAGCAGTATGACTTGCTTGCAGCCTTGTTCAGGAAATGGTCTTTCCTAATCACTACTTATACTCACATTGTTTAATTGCCGGTTGTCGAATTCTGCAGTCTCCGTCTAACCAGTTTCTAGGAGTTTGCAAAACCCTATATCCCTCATGTGTCACAAAATACATAGGACAGCCTTATTCTCGTGCATGTCCTGTTTCGGCGTCTATGGACTGGGTTGCGATGGATCAACTGGGACATTTTGCGCCTAAGAATCTCGTAAAAATATATTTCCATTGGTCATCACAATTTTCCATGTGAAGTTCCTGTTTGTTGACGACCTTGCAGTTAAGGCATTGTTCTGCGGTATTTTAATGATGGTAATGACGGAAGCGATGTCTATCGACGAATCTTGACCGCAAGATTGCTTCACATTGCTCCAAGACTAAACGCTACAATGACTTGACAAGCAAATGTACTACCGCATCTAGCAACCAAGTGAAGTTCCAACTGTGATTTAATGGCACAGCTCTAGCTACAGTAACTTGGATTTTTACTAATCAACTTTCTAGAACCCTGATGAAATCGATTTTCTATTCCTTTTGCTCTACTGACTGCAAAATAACATCGTGCTTGTGTACATACCACGAACACGCATTCACTTAACTCCGGTTCTGTGAATATCATCTGACAGTGGGGATGATTCTTGCTGTCTCTCAGTGCAAACATCCACGGTGGTTGCCAGTCTTTTGCGAGTACTCGACGCCTGGTACCTTGGTTGGACTCTTTTGATGGGAAGGCCATTCCTTGGCTTTTTAATCGGCAAATAAAATATGTTTCAGGTTGTTGTACTCGACGACTAAAAAATGTTTGCTTCCTGCTTAAAGTGAACTATTAAGTAACAACAGCTCAGGTGCATAAGTAACTCGGCTGCTGACCAATGCAATGTGTGCATCTAGTGAAGGTAGTGCAGGCTCGTGGACATAAAAAATAAATTTTATGTCAAAGCCGACCCGCAAGAGTGAGCAGATTCTTTGGCTGACTACACGGTGCGTCGTTCGTGGAACAAACGCTGTCTGGGTCTTGTGCACGCTTAACTGCCACACCTGAATTGAATGGAATTTGTAGCGAAAAAAGCGATTATGGTGTGCTTGTTCTGCTCTTCAATAGTCGACTCAATACCCACATCCGGACACCTCAATCCCAAATATCCAATCGGAGCATGTAATCAAATGCCCCCAGCCACAGCTACGTCATGACAATGCACAAAGTAGTCTTTGAGCACAGCCTGTGAATGAATTCGCTTTCGACTACTAGGGCAGCATGAGTCACCGTTGGTGATGAATGCGTCAAGCGACTTTCACACCAACGTCAGAACAGCAACTTGTGGGGATGCAATCGTCCAGGAGATTGTAAAGCTAGCACCCACCCTCCAACACATCCACATAACCTAGCCTAGTTTTGATCACGGATTGAAAGTGATGCCGCAATTATTGACCACTTACACAAAACTCTACTTTCTACCAGATGTGTGCCGTATACAACGCCAAGTAGCATACCGTTCACGGGGTTCTGGCGAACAGAGGTCAAGCAACTTCACCGAGATCTACCCGTCAATGACGGCATTATGGGGCATTGATGTAATTAAAAAGCAAACACGAACTCACATTGCAGCAGAATATGCTATCAGAATTGAAACATACAGTGCCATGCTACTGCAAAATGCCGACGGCATGTTGAAGCAGATGCAGAATTACTGGCAGATTTACAAGCAAAACCAATGGCAAAGGAAGTCAATAAATGCAGGTGTGTGTGGTGTGTGAGGACTAGACGAGCGCCGGTATTTGGATTGTACTTGTCGTAGTCGCGATTTCTGCCACAGAGCGGCGGAAAATTCATCAGGAAGCAATGCAGCCAACATAAATTAAAAGAAAAAGGAGGCGAAGAGCGTGAGGAGGTTGTGGGGCCAGTCTGCAAGTGGATGTCTTGCCCGTCTCAAACACCATCGATTGTCGAAGCGCCGTTCGCAGAGTTGGAGGCTGCGTAAATGCATAAGTGTCTGCATTTTCGCGTTTCATCGCCAAACTTGCGGCGATGCCAGCAGAGGGCTCCGCATGTAGTGTGCAGACTGCCGCTGATTTTACGCCCTGCCTCGTGAACCACCACTTCTACAAG